TAACAAAAAGATTAGGTGATGAAAGATTGAATATCAGATTGGAGGGAGAGAGTATGGAGGAGGTGAACGTATTCAGATATTTGGGAGTGGACGTGTCAGCGGATGGGTCTATGAAGATGAGGTGAATCATAGAATTGATGAGGGAAAAAGAGTGAGTGGTGCACTTAGGAGTCTGTGGAGACAAAGAACTTTGTCCTTGGAGGCAAAGAGGGGAATGTATGAGAGTATAGTTTTACCAACGCTCTTATATGGGTGTGAAGCGTGGGTGATGAATGTTGCAGCGAGGAGAAGGCTGGAGGGCAGTGGAGATGTCATGTCTGAGGGCAATGTGTGGTGTGAATATAATGCAGAGAATTCGTAGTTTGGAAGTTAGGAGGAGGTGCGGGATTACCAAAACTGTTGTCCAGAGGGCTGAGGAAGGGTTGTTGAGGTGGTTCGGACATGTAGAGAGAATGGAGCGAAACAGAATGACTTCAAGAGTGTATCAGTCTGTAGTGGAAGGAAAGGCGGGGTAGGGGTCGGCCTAGGAAGGGTTGGAGGGAGGGGTTAAAGGAGGTTTTGTGTGCGAGGGGCTTGGACTTCCAGCAGGCATGCGTGAGCGTGTTTGATAGGAGTGAATGGAGACAAATGGTTTTTAATACTTGACGTGCTGTTGGAGTGTGAGCAAAGTAACATTTATGAAGGGATTCAGGGAAACCGGCAGGCCGGACTTGAGTCCTGGAGATGGGAAGTACAGTGCCTGCACTCTGAAGGAGGGGTGTTAATGTTGCAGTTTAAAAACTGTAGTGTAAAGCACCCTTCTGGCAAGACAGTGATGGAGTGAATGATGGTGAAAGTTTTTCTTTTTCGGGCCACCCTGCCTTGGTGGGAATCGGCCGGTGTGATAATAATAATAATAAAATAAATATTTAGTCAGTAAAACTATAAACACCTAACATACGTGCAAGTTTCTAGTCAATTTTGATCATCTAGAAAATGTTCGTCTTATATCTAGTGATCCCCTATACTAGTGTGAGTAATGTGATGACTTGAGTGGCAACATGAAGAACATACCATACCACGGATGGGGTTAGAACCCTGGAGGACAGGAGAGTTAGGGGAGACATGATAACGACATACAAAATACTGCGTGGAATAGACGAGGTGGACAGAGACAGGATGTTCCAAAGATGGGACACAGAAAGAAGGGGTCACAATTGGAAGTTGAAGGCTCAGATGAGTCAAAGGGATGTTAGGAGGTATTTCTTCAGTCATAGAGTAGTCAGGAAGTGGAATAGCCTAGCAAGTGAGGTAGTGGAGGCAGGAACCATACATAGCTTTAAGATGAGGTATGATAAAGTTCATGGAGCAGGGAGAAAGGGGACCTAGTAGCACTCAGTGAAGAGAAGGGGCCAGGAGCTGAGTCTCGACCCCTGCAACCACAATTAGGTGAGTACAATTAGGTGAATACAAAACTCCAGACCGACGCGTGGTATGGTTTGTTTGCAATCGTGTCATTACGATTTCGTGAATCATGAAGAACAAAATGGCATTTTTGTGGACCTCGCTGACTTTGCTGCATTATTATTGACTGTTTTTTGCAATATTCAGATGGAAGCTCCTTAGTCATGAAGGGGTCACCCGGTGACTGGGGGACGAGAGGTAATTAGGTGTGACTTGAGGAAGAAGGGGAGGACGAAGGTTTCAATTTCTTGAAGAGATCTCCACTAGCATCAAAAAGCCTACCCAGAAGGTCTCTTGCACTGCAACATTGCTCGTAACATAACTCTCTCAGACCTTGACTGTCTTAGTTTCGATCTGAGAAACTTTGTAGACTCTCCCACTCATCTACCTAATCCCTTAATGGTGGTGGTTTCTTTGTCAGGAAAAATGTCTTCTAACTCTGGACTTAGTAGTATGATGACCCGCTAAGTGGCTGAATAATACAATGTAATCTTATATTATCCCCTGACTTAGTAGTGGGATCTGCTTTAAGACACTTATATGCTGACCTTTTGGGGTAAGTGGACTTATCTTCTCACAAAGTTGTCTTTACCACACTTAACATCACAGAAGAGCAAGACAGCATATCTTGCATAACCTGTCTTTGGAAAATAAGAGAGTGGCCAGACGTTTGCTTGGAACATTCCTCCACTGAATAGGACGCCGGTGTACCAGGGTGAGACTCACAGCCAAGCGAATGCCTTCACTAATCAAATCCTGGATTCCCAGTACAGGTGCACCGTCCGGAGCAGCAGGTACAGGTGGCCAAGACTTCACATCAGTCTGGGTTTTTGGCTGTTGCTTCTGTGAGGCAGATGGCATTATGTTACGAGACTTTGATGGCTACACAGTTTTCTCTGTTTTTGATATAGAGTTTATTTTGAACTCTCTCTCATATCTCTCAGTCTATAAAGTTGCCATTTTAGTGTACATGTTAGAAAGGGACTTGACCTTAGTATTTTTCTCGTATAGATTTTAATACATTTCTCAGCTCTCCGTTTTAGAGATTATTTTATTTGGCTCCTTTAAGGCAGTTCTAGAGTCGACATATTTCACCGAGTCTGTGCGAGCAAGAAAAGATCTTTGTTTACTTTTAGCTATGAAATCTCTGTTACAACGAAGGATGTAGGGTAGAACGCAAGTGTTTTGGTGTAGCATCTCTGGCTTCAGAGGTTCTCAGAAGTAAGAATTTAATTTTCCAGGCCTTAACTACGTTTGTTTGGGTAACCTCTTCTTTCTCGCCATAGGGTCGCTCGTCATGAACATTCTTAGGTTTCTCCTCTCTCTTCCTCTCTATAGCCCGATATGATTGCTTCTTAATTTGTCTTATTTTTTTTTTTTTGGTCGAAATTGCAATTTGTCTCTAATGAAATATAATTATTTTTCGTTGCCCAGTAAAAATCTGATTACAGTCTACCCTTTCTTCCATTAATAATAATAATAATAATAATAATAATAATAATAATGATATTATTATTTTTATTATTATTATTGCTGTTATTATTATTATTATTATTATTATTATTATTATTATTATTATTATTATCATCAAAGTGGATTTTCTCTCTACCTCTGTAACAGCTGTTAAAAAATTTATTGTCGAAATTCTTTTACAGAATCATTATAAATCGCTTTTTTCTCTTCATTCAGCGCCTCTATGTTAACGAGACACGTTATATGGTTTATGTTATTTTCTTAATGTTGCTTCGTCTATCAAGGACTCGCGGTTCTCACCTTGTGGGCGAAACGTCTTCTCGATATAATGTTATAACCCGCATATTGTGTCTTATTAACATACTTCTACCTGGAGAGTGTTTCCTCATGTGTTCCTAAAATTTCAGATGTGATTAATAAAAAAAAACATAGAGTAAGCTTGTTATTTAAATCCCTTTCTCCTGTTAAATACACAGCAAAGTTGTGTATTTAACAACAAAGTGTCACGGTGGGCAAAACGCCGTTAAATAATTAACATATTCTGTCCCTCTTTAATTCACCCTTCGTCAGGTACCGCCATCTACTATCAACCAGTAACTTTTATGGAGGTTTTCTTTACTTTGTTGGGAAATTCGCGTTTTAAAAGCACTTCAGTTTTTTTCCCCTTGATCTGTAGTCCTCTGCGTTGTCTTCAATTTTTTTTTTAAAAGTTTTCCCAGCTTGACAGATATAATAGGCGTTTTAACGTGCTTCATCGTTCACTTTTTCCGTGTACTGGTGTGGGTTTAAGTACTCAGCGCGGAATGCTTGATAATTCCTCGATTATGTAACCCCCGAGTCTCTACTCAGGTTGTTGCTGTACCTATAACAAGCTTGAACGGGTTTATATCTATGCTGCTGTAATATGTAAAGTAAAAGGACACAAGTGCAACTAATGTGACATTTTATTGTGGCAACGTTTCGCTCTCCATTAGTTGCACTTGTGTCCTTTTACTTTACATCTATGCTGCTGGCAGCACCTCAGGTTGCCTATTTCCAGTTTAAAATGTCAATTATTTGTGTTCTGCTTAACGTCAGTTTGTAAACACTTCGTTTCCCCAAACCACATTTTTATAGGTTATATTAGAGTGAATAAAACTATAAAATGGTTTTTTTTTTACTCCGAGCATCCAAATTAGAAAAACTTTGCTACGATACGTCTGGCAACCAGGTTTTAATTTTTTTAAACCCAAGAGATGTGCGTTCTCTGGTGAATTTTTGTGCACATTGGCCACCAGGTGGTCCGGGTAAATCTGAATCGCTCAAATCTGAACGTTGATCACACTTCGTAAGCTATAAACTGCTGCTGATTATTAGGTTTACGACACACGGGTTTAGGTACATCCGCACATCAGTCAGGTTTTTTAGCTTTGTGAATCATTATATTCAGAGAGAAGCGCTAAACACGAAGGGATTATACAGCACCTGGGACTCGGGAGGTAATCAGAATTAACATGAAGCTCTGGAGTTAGGTTAGCTCCAGTTCCATGGAACAAGAGCTCTTCAGCATCAAAGGCCCCCCCCCCCATTGAAAGGATAGTGAAGATTAAACAACGTATGACTTTGCTAGAATATCTAAGATTAAATACACAATACTCACAGCAGTGTTAACCAACTACCTTCATGTTCCTTCACAACTATTGTAAAAAAAATAAAAAATAAAAAAAAAAATAAAAATAAATCATGTATAAATTTCTTGATTAAACTTTATTTAATCAAAATTAAATTTTCAAAAACATTTGACGCAGCTGTGGCCAAGTTTTACTATTTTATACATAGTAATGATCTCTCACAGGCGGTATTATGCTCAGCTTATCACATCATTAAACACAAGGGGGAGCGCTAAAGAGTAGGGGCCATACAGCGCTGGGGAGAATATTGACGCTTGATCCAAGGATAGAGTGTACTTACAACTCTCTGTCTTAAGAAACCATCACTTGCATCAAGGCCACTAATTTTTTTTTAGCAGAAAATGTATTAAAGTTTCGAGAATGGCCTCACCTCTGGCCAGACTACGGATGATGAAAAATACAAAATAATCAATATAGTTTTAAACATTTATTGTATACAATTATTTACAATGTGTACGGGGAGAGGGGGGGGATATATACGCTGCCGGTACTCATGCTGCCAGGCGTACGACACACCACTGCCAGTCGTATGACCCTTCACTGCCAGATGTATGACACATCATTGTCCCCCCACATATGCGTCACGCTGCCGGGTTTATAAGGTACCATTGCCAGGCATGTAAGTCTGCTGAGCATATGACACATCACTGCCAGGCGCATGATGCACTACTGCCAGGGGTATGACCCATCAATAACAGGCGTATGACACGTCACAGGAAAGCATATGATGCACAACTGCCTGACATGCGAATCACGCTACCAGGCGTATGATGCACAACTGCCTGACATGCGAATCACGCTACCAGGCGTATGATGCACAACTGCCTGACATGCGAATCACGCTACCAGGCGTATGACCCAACACTGCTAGGCTTATGATGCAACTGCCAGACGTATGAGTAAGGCTGTAGTTGTATGGCACATCATTGCCAGGCACATGATCTAGGCTGCCAGGCTTAGGAATATGATACATACTGATATATATAGTATGCTGTCAAAAATGACACAAGATACCAAAATGCCCTGCCAGGTGTGTAACTCGCACTGTCGCATGTGTAACATATGTCATGTGTGAAAAAGGTCATATATGTGGCACAGCTTACACAAAACGAAGCTGTTAGACATTTGTCATAGAACCATGTTTATACATATGGCATAACTGCCAGTTGACGCCTGTGAGATGGGTGGTCATACACATGACAAAGCAGTTACAAGCCTCTCATACGTGGGACATGACATGTCAGTGACTTACCAATCATAAGCATAGCACTTCTGTCATGCGCATGATACGCCTGTCAAACATGTGGCATATTTGTGATGTATGACAACACTTGTCATATATATGACATTCATGTCATACACGTGACACAACTGTCACACACATGACCCTTTTAGTTCACGTGATACACCTGTCATATGCATAACACAGTCATCCATGTGACACACCTGTCTTACACATGGCAAACCTGTCATCCATGACACATCTGTCATACGTATAACACACTTGTCATACATATAACACATCGTCATCTACAGCTCCTGGGTTTGTTAAAGTACAAAACCACTCTTGATTTTTTTCATGAAAATTGAGAGGGTGATGGGTGTGGGAGGGATGGTATCGAGAGCTCTGAAATAAATAAATATAAATCCTAATTTCCTGTTGTTTATATACAAAAACTGAAGACCAACAGTGAAGAGTGACTTAGACAACACATGGCATACATATATACAACAAGTGCAGCGCCTGGACCCCCTGTATTCTGACACTCACACTTGAGGCTCTGATTAAACGAAGAGGTCATAACTTTACTGAAATCTAATTGGCTCTCGCTAGTTTCCAGCCGGAATTCAGCCAATCCCTGACCTGATTTAGAACGGGAAAATTTGTTTGGCAAATCAGAAGCCAGGAGCCATAACCGAGAAATGTTGTTGAGCCAATTAGCGGCAAATTGTGTCTCGTTGCAGGTGATAAACTAAAGCATTGCCAGGGCTTTTATGGGAGATAATTTGGAGAGGACCTCAAGCCAGGTCTCAGGGTACAGGCGGAGCAGATTCTACACGCAAGAACACCGACATCTTTCCTTAGTGGTGAAAAAACCTACCCAACATAAAGGTGATATAGCCTTCATACCCTGTAGTGCTCAGAATGTACCACTGCTTCTCTCAGTGTCTCTCGTGACGGACAGTTATTGACAACCATGCACACGAGTCCATCATAGGTCGTATTTGTACCACGAGACTGAGAGACTCAAAAGATGTGCGACACTGAACAGATGAACGGAAATTTTGGTGGTGCCTGCAGTGGTGCATCACAGTGCTTCCCACACACACATATGCACACCCACACACACACATGCACACACACACACACACACACACACCCACACACACACATGCACATACACACACACATGCACACACACACACACACACACACACACACGCACACACACACACACACACACACACACACACACACACACACACACACACACACACACACACACACACACACACACACATTCTCACACGTACAGTACACACATCTCTCACTCATCTAATGCTTTATCACAAGAGTTGGCTTCCCTCGTCCACCTATGTGGAGTTCATCTTAATCTCCCGTAGTCACAATGTTTCCAGTTTTTCATGTAAATTCCTCGAATCACTAAAACGTCTTAAGTGGAGAACTTTTCTTATATCCTCTTACGTTACTGTTTTACTTGCTTTGAAATGTCGTAACTTTTCCTTCTTCACTGCTTAAGAAATCACTGCGATGCGGACAAGAGAACATTTTCAGTTTTAACTGGGGAGTTGGGAGTCTTTGGGTTTCTTATCCCTGAAGTAGAAAACACAAATGTTCCTCCTCGGTATTCAGTGTGTATGTTTGGCACTGGCTGCTGGCCTACACCAACGAGATGATTGTCTGGAGGCTGCAGGAGCCAGATGGTGAGGAGAGATGGCTTGTGATCTCAAGCAGCCAAGCCTTCTGCAACAACTTCGATACCTCTTCTTCCAGAGGAACTTCCGCCTCTCCCCCCCCTTTTCCCCAGCTACGCGTTCACGCACAAACGGCGCTATATAAACATATGCTCTGAAATACTGTACACACACACGTATGCGTGCTTGAATAAAGGGGCAGCGTTTTCAGTGAATCCTTATTCGTTTTTTATCAACACGACTTGGAGAGATAAGAACTCTGAACACCTCAACAACCATACTTGTCTTCTGGTGTTCGGAATCTCTTGACAACTTCGTAGTTGTGTGTGGTCTGAGTCTCTCGTGGTGTGGGACCCCGGGAAGAGGGGGCGACCAAGACCATTTTCACTTGCCAAATTCACTTATTAAGTCACTCACTGGATTCTTCATCAACGTCATCTCTAACCTTTAGTCTTTCTCTTACAAGGCAACGGGCCAGTTGCGACTCTTAAGACGTTTGCAATAAATGCTTCTCTCGTTGAAGGATCGGACTTCAAAAAGGCCTCCAGAGCGGTCATCTTCGGGTATCGCTGGCTGCAATGCCAGGTCACCACGCCAGAGACTGGATTTAATGTCTGCTAGGAGGCCAGGTCTCAGTACGGCCTCCACACCTTGATCTCCGGGCTGCGGTCACTGGAAGGCTTGACGGGCTGGAAGGAGGACTCGCGGGACGGGAAGTTGGTCTTCGCTCCCCCCAGTGACCGAGGGATAGAGAAGGCGCTAAGACCTCCCAGAGGAGCAAGAGGCGGAGGCCGAATACTGCTACAGCTGCTGCTGTTGCCGTTGGTGCTACTGCTACTGGTGCTACCATTGTTGGTTCCGTTGCTACTGGAGCTGTTGGCGCTGCTGGTGGGGGTGGTGGAGGCAGAGACTGCTGTTGGAGAGGAAGAGGGAGAGCCTGGGGTGGCGTGGGAGGCGTGGTGAAGAAGCGACGTGCAGGGGCCTCCTGACTCACACCCACGACACCGTAAACACCGAGAATCACCTGAAGAAGAAAATCAACATCAGAACTTTGTGCACAAACTACAAACATCAACAACAACAACAAAATGAAGGGCATGAATAATATATGATATAAATTAAAATATCAGACCAGGAAGTCAACCTACGCAAGAAAAATAATGTAACTAGCCTGGAGTTTTACGGCTCACTCGCCACGGGTTCAAACCTCATCCGTTCCGTGGCTTGTAGGGTATTCCCAATGAGAAGCAGAAGTTTTTATAGGCAATTAGAGGGTATTACACTAAAACATATTAAATAATACAGGTCAGTGTCACGAAGACGGCCTCAGAGCTGAGCCGAAATTTTCACAAACACATTATTTTCTGCCTTGTCTATATGTGGGTTCATTGATTTTATAAGTAAAAAAATGAGCGTCATTAAAGCAAGGATCTTCAACCTTCTAATAGGTATTTTTCTTTATATTTTGCTAGAAAATAAATACAGTTCTTCGAGTAGAAACTCTACCGTTTTCTTCATGCTGTGACACCTAAGATGAATTGAAACGGCTGTGCAAACCTGCCAGCCTCAGACAACAATAACAAGGTTGATCAGTGCTGGAGAGAGACAAGAACCTCAAATACAAACCATCGTTATAAAAATAAAATATAAGAAATAGGTAATGGAATAAAAGACTTGTAATGTGTAGAATATAAAATTATAAGTAAAATATCACTGTCTTCGCATATCATCACTGCAGTGAACTGAAAAACTCACTGGTTAGTGAAACATCTCCAGGAAAATATATCCAGGTGTCGCACATGTATCTAATTCCTCATCAAAGAAACAAAACATTAAACAGTTGACAAAGATAAATGAAAGAAAATTCAGACTGCCGCCAACAGTTTGTAGAGAGAGAGAAAAAGGCTGAAAATTTAACAGAGAAACGACAGAGAAATCCGTCAAGACACTGATAAAATGGCACAAGTAACTAAAAACCAACTGAAAACTGATGAAGAATCGTATGCTACAGACTTAGTAATATTCTGAAATTACGTTTTTTCCCGCAGTTTAAAATTAATATTTTTCATATGTTCTTAAATTAAAAAATGAACGTAAACAGGTGAAAAATAGACGACATAAGTGAGATGGGTTGGATCTGAGTGCGTTATCAAAGGTTAGGTAAGGTTATCAAAGGTTAGATAAGGTTATCAAAGGTTAGGTAAGGTTATCAAAGGTTAGGTAAGGTTATCAAAGGTTAGGTAAGGTTATCAAAGGTTAGGTAAGGTTATCAAAGGTTAGGTAAGGTTATCAAAGGTTAGGTAAGGTTATCAAAGGTTAGGTAAGGTTATCAAAGGTTAGGTAAGGTTATCAAAGGTTAGGTAAGGTTATCAAAGGTTAGATAAGGTTATGAAAGGTTAGATAAGGTTATCAAAAGTTAGATAAGGTTATCAAAGGTTATTTGGTAGTAGTGAAAATTGGGTAGGGCAAATTTTTGTTAGTTAGTTTGGGTTTGAGAAGGACCTGCCTAGTATGGGCCAATAGATCTGTTGAGGTGTTCATATGTTAATATCTCCTATCAGTTGGTAAGACACATGTGCAGCGGTTACGTATCTATATTTCGAAACGTTTCGCCCACACAGTAGGTTTCTTCAGTCGAGTACAGAAGAGCTAGCAGCAGCCATTAATAATTCCTTGATTCATAGATCTCAGACCGCGCCTCCTAAATTAAAAGAAACATTATTCAAAAAAGTAAGAAGTGCAAAGTGTAAGTGTGAGATGAATGTAAGTAGAAGTTAGTAAAATTTTCCTGTCCCCTTACGTGTTTACGAGACAGTCAGAAAAAGACGACCCATCTTGACAGAGTGCAAAACATCTGACAGGCCTCTCTTACACACTCGTATGACAGGCTTCTCTTACACACTCATATGACAGGCCTCTGTTACACACTCGTATGACATGCCTCTGTTACACACTCGTATGACATGCCTCTGTTACACACTCGTATGACATGCCTCTGTTACACACTCGTATAACATGCCTCTGTTACACACTCGTATAACATGCCTCTGTTACACACTCGTATAACATGCCTCTGTTACACACTCGTATAACATGCCTCTGTTACACACTCGTATAACATGCCTCTGTTACACACTCGTATAACATGCCTCTGTTACACACTCGTATAACATGCCTCTGTTACACACTCGTATAACATGCCTCTGTTACACACTCGTATAAGATGCCTCTCTTACACACTCGTATAACATGCCTCTGTTACACACTCGTATAACATGCCTCTCTTACACACTCGTATAACATGCCTCTGTTACACACTCGTATAACATGCCTCTCTTACACACTCGTATAACATGCCTCTGTTACACACTCGTATAACATGCCTCTGTTACACACTCGTATAACATGCCTCTGTTACACACTCGTATAACATGCCTCTGTTACACACTCGTATAACATGCCTCTGTTACACACTCGTATGACATGCCTCTGTTACACACTCGTATAACATGCCTCTGTTACACACTCGTATAAACATGCCTCTGTTACACACTCGTATAACATGCCTCTGTTACACACTCGTATAACATGCCTCTGTTACACACTCGTATAACATGCCTCTGTTACACACTCGTATAACATGCCTCTGTTACACACTCGTATAACATGCCTCTGTTACACACTCGTATAACATGCCTCTGTTACACACTCGTATAACATGCCTCTGTTACACACTCGTATAACATGCCTCTGTTACACACTCGTATAACATGCCTCTGTTACACATTTTCACAATAATAATTTTTTTAACTTTAAATATATTTTATTTTTGGGAGAGACTAATTTATTTTTAAAATGTTTAATTTATTTTTTAAGAAGTCTATTTTAAAACAGACAGTTACAAAATTGACCTTTAAAAAAAGTAATAAATATAATTCACATTTTTACTACTTAACCAATAATATTTACGAAAATAATCCTAAAGGAATATTCTATATTAATAATTTTCTGAATATAGTTTAGACACTGATAAACAACAGTATCAGTATTATCACAACAATTATTGATATTGTAATTATCATGTGTGATGATCAAGTAACGTCAGGTGAGTAACACAGACGAAAGAGAAAGATTCGACACCAGATAAGACCGAAGCCAATCAAATGAATCCAACGATTCCAGGATTAGTCAAACTAATAAGACGAATCAGAGAATAATTAAACGAATCCGAGAGTAATTATATGAATCGGAGACTAATTAAACGAATCCATGACCAATTCAACGAATTTGATGCCGATTAGGGGAAAGCAAGACCTATTAAACGAACCTGAGACCAGTTAAACCAATTTTAGACCAATTAAACGAAGAGAGAAAATGAGAGAAATGCTACGTACCGGAGAGAAGCGATCTCGTTGATTCTGAGTTGGTTATGCTTGCCAGGGCGTGGGTGTGGGCGGGGCTGTGGGTGGGCAGAGAGGGCAAGGAATGGGCGGAGAGGCTGCTGAGGGCGGTGCCTGGTAGATGAGAACCACCCACGCCCATACCCAGGCCGCCCACCAGGCCGGAGGCGCCGCGCCACGCATCCAGCCAACCATTGCCGCCCACTGTGGGAGAGAGAGAAAATACAATGAGTGAGGGGTAACGTACATAATACATTGATTTGTGTCGATGGATACAATGCACTATTTTGGGGTCGGTCGATAGACAAAATACACTATTGTGGCTCGATAGACACAATACACTATTGTAGGTCGATAGACACAATTCACTATTTTGGGTGGATAGATAGAATTCACTATTTTGGGTCGATAGACACAATACACTATTGTGAGTCGATAGACACAATACACTATTGTGGGTCGATAGACACAATTCACTATTTTGGGTCGATAGACACAATACACTATTGTGGGTCGATAGACACAATACACTGCTCAATGCGAGTAGACACAATACACTGATTTTTAAATCGACAGGATTAAATTCGCTGATCCAAGTAAACAGAGTCACAATACAGTGGGGAGAAATGGTAGAAAATACCGACGTGATGGGACGAGACATAACAGTAGGCAAACCTTCCGCTGAACGTTTCGCCCTCTCTTCTTTCATGGGTTCAGGTACTTAAAGTTCTCAAGATCTTATTTCACGTTGAGTCGTGTACAGGGATTTAGGTCGACTGCCACACAATACAGGGATTTAGGTCGATAGACACGCAATATAGGGATTTAGGTCGACTGCCACACAATACAGGGATTTAGGTCGACTGCCACACAATACAGGGATTTAGGTCGACTGTCACACAATACAGGGATTTAGGTCGACTGCCACACAATACAGGGATTTAGGTCGACTGCCACACAATACAGGGATTTAGGTCGACTGCCACACAATACATTGATTTAGGCCGACTGTCACACAATACAGGGATTTAGGTCGACTGCCACACAATACAGGGATTTAGGTCGACTGCCACACAATACATTGATTTAGGTCGATAGACACACAATACATTGATTTAGGTCAGAGACACACAATATAGAGATTTAGGTCGATTGATAAATAATACAGGGATTTAGATCGACTGCCACATAATACAGGGATTTAGGTCGACTGCCACACAATACAGGGATTTAGGTCGATAGACACACAATACATTGATTTAGGTCGAGAGACACACATTATAGGGATTTAGGTCGACTGATACACAATACAGGGATTTAGGTCGACTGCCACACAATACAGGGATTAAGGTCGACTGCCACACAATACATTGATTTAGGTCGACTGTCACACAATACAGGGATTTAGGTCGACTGCCACACAATACAGGGATTTAGGTCGACTGCCACACAATACATTGATTTAGGTCGATAGACACACAATACATTGATTTAGGTCGAGAGACACACAATATAGAGATTTAGGTCGATTGATAAACAATACAGGGATTTAGATCGACTGCCACGTAATACAGGGATTTAGGTCGACTGCCACACAATACAGGGATTTAGGTCGATAGACACACAATACATTGATTTAGGTCGAGAGACACACATTATAGGGATTTAGGTCGATTGATACACAATACAGGGATTTAGGTCGACTGCCACACAATACAGGGATTTAGGTCGACTGCCACACAATACAGGGATTTAGGTCGATAGACACACAATACATTGATTTAGGTCGAGAGACACACATTATAGGGATTTAGGTCGACTGATACACAATACAGGGATTTAGATCGACTGCCACACAATACAGGAATTTAGGTCGATAGACACACAAGACAGAGATTTAGGTCAACGAAAATAAAACAGGGATTCACACCGACATAGATTTAGATCAAAAGACAGAATACATTGATTAATGTCAACAAAGTGCTCACGTAGCCAGGCAGATGAGACTGACACGGTGTATTATAGATCATGTATTGTGTGATGTATTATGTGATCCTTTACCCACTACATTTCGTCCATACAGTGGGATTTATCAAGTCGTACAGGTATTTTATATCTTTTATCTCCAGAGCGGATTATGGTAAATTAGACACGTGTACAGAATTTGGGTATCTTTAATGAGGAAACGTTTCGCCACACAGTGGTTTCATCAGTCCATGAAAAGGAGAATGGTGAAGAACAGGAGGAGTTTGAGGTAATCAGTCCCTCAGCCTTGTCTCTAATTTACCAACATGTGTCTAATTTACCAACTTGTCGGTTCTCTGAACCATTCAGGTGCAGAGCGGATAATGCCAGGTTGAGAGAAGGACTGTGTCAAAATTAAGACGAGAGGACGATAATCTGATTGAGAGGACGATAATGTGCACAGTTTGGTTGAGAGGGAAAAAATATATACAGTCTGGTTGAAAGGACAATAATACACAGTCTGGTTGAGAGAGAGGGAGAGAGAGAGAGAGAGAGAGAGAGAGAGAGAGAGAGAGAGAGAGAGAGGAGAGAGAGAGAGAGAGAGAGAGAGAGAGAGAGAGAGAGAGAGAGAGAGAGAGAGAGAGAAGAGAGAGAGAGAGAGAGAGAGAGAGAGAGAGAGAGAGAGAGAGAGAGAGTTAAAATGAAACCAACCACTATTTTCTCCATGTCGACGGACAGACTGCATATCATCAGGTTGAGAGGGATACATGCTACATACTGTCAAGCTGAGAGGGATACATGCTACATACTATCAAGCTGAGAGGGATACATGCTACATACTTGACGCCTCACTACAGTAATGTTTATGTTGTGGTATCATCGCGTGATATTGATGTTAAAGTAATGTTATTAATACTAGTGTAGTATAATGAATGTTAGCGTAATGTTATTGATATCAACGTAATGTTATTATTATGTAAGTGTAGTGTTATTAATATTGATGCAATATTATTAATGTTAGTGTAACGTTATTAAGGTTAATGTTGTTAATGTTAAGGGTAACATTTTTGTTTGTGTAATGGTATTATGTTAATGTCAGTGTAGCTGTAACATTGCTATTGTCTTCGCTAATTTCGGCTATTATGATCATATACGCTATTACAGCACTAGTAATAACGGCAGTAATAATACTAATAACAGCAGTAATAGTAATCAGAGCAGTAGTAATAGAAGTAATAACAGTAATAACAATAGTAATAATAGTAACAGCAATAACAGCAGTAATAATAGCAGTAGTAGCAACAGTAACAGTAATAATATAACAGTGGTATCATTTATCCCTTCTTTATTCCATTATAATCAACCATCACTGTTCGCACAAATCTCTGAAAGACCGCAATTCCGTCATCACTTGCTCGACAAGTATCACCACAACTTGACTTCCAGTAACTACTACTCGCCGCCGCAATTAATATCTCGCTATCTACACAACCACCAAGGAGATTATACTGACGCTAGTATAGCGAGAATGTTAAAAATGTTAACCATCAAAGACTACGCGTGTTGGGGCAACTGTATTAAAATCAGTTGAATCATTGAGATGCTTTGTCAGGCGTTGTTGTTGTTTTTTGTGTGTGGATTTTTTTTTCAGCGTTTGAGGTTAGTCAGTGTTGAAATTGTTGCATTGTTATTGATTTAGGGTTTTTTATCTTTAGGATAATAACGTTGAATCATATTTCATCTAGAGAACAAAATAAAGCATATGCAGTAAGGGTGGAAAATGACGACCTGCAAAGGTAGAAATTACGACTATGTAATAAGATCTTTAGACATTTGTTGTCTCGCGTCTTTCAAGGCAGGAGGGTCGTCAGAGCTAGAAAAATGTACTGAGGACATTTACTGTCCGCATAGAATTGATAAAAAAAAATTCTGGGAACACTTCTGTTCACTTGAAATTACTTTCATGAACGCAGAATCTGATCAACTTCACATGGAAAAAAATATTTGAGGTGTCAGGTCATCACTGTGCACATTGCATAACACCTTACTGGAGTAAGAGATACGATAGACAGTGAAGAATAATCCCAGTAAAAAAAGAAAAAAGTAGGGGCGCCATATACACAACTGAAGAACACTGCGTCAACATCCGTGGTCCAAGCTTAACCTGCTATCAGCAAATATTAGAACTACTGCCTAAATTAAGTAGGACTGAGCACCTGCTCAAAGTGTGTGCGTGTGTATTCACTTAGTTGTGGTTGTTGGGGTCGATTCACAGCTCCTGGCCCCGCCTCTTCAACTGGCCGCTACTCAGTCACTCTTCCCGCTCCGTGGGCTTCATCATACCTCTTCTTAAAGCTATGAATGGATCCTGCCTCCAGTACATCGCTTCCCAAACTATTCCACTTCCTGACTACTCTGTGACTGAAGAAATACCTCCTAACATCTCTGTGATTCATCTGAGTCTTCAAGTTCCAACTGTGTCCCCTTGTTGCTGTGTCTCATCTCTGGAACATTCTGTCTCTTTCCACCTTGTCAATTTCTCTCAGTATTTTATATGTCGTTATCATGTCCCCCCTATATTTCCTGTCCTCCAGTGTGTGTGTGTTTTACCAGACTGACATATGTATGCAAACCTTCGGATAGCCAGCAGCAACCAGCCTCGTTGAATAGACAGTCAACAAATATATAAGTTGACCTGAGAGGATAGAAGGACCCTGGAAACCTGTCGCAGAGATGTCACAGGTCGGTAATAGAGTGATCGAGCAGTTATGGACTTCGTTTTCTTAATATTTTCTGAAGGATACCATGCTGAAGAAAGACTTCTGAAGCAAGGAACCAGAGCTCTACATCTCTCCTTCTCTGTAAAGTCTATAGTAATTACCACCCATTCTCCAGGCGCTATTTGATCCCTTATAGGTTTAGCGCTTCCTCATGATCATAATCTGAGAGGATGCATCGAGACAGAGGTAGATAGGTAGGTAGATAGATAGATAGATAGATAGATAGATAAATAGAGAGAGAGAGAGAGAGAGAGAGAGAAGATAGAGAGAGAGAGAGAGAAGAGAGAGAGAGAGAGAGAGAGAGAGAGAGAGAGAGAGAGAGAGAGAGAGAGAGAGAGAGAGAGAGAGAGAGAGAGACAGACAGACAGACAGACAGAGACAGAGACAGAGAGAGACAGAGAGAGAGAGAGAGAGAGAGAGAGAGAGAGAGAGAGAGAGAGAGAGAGAGAGAGAGAGAGAGAGAGAGAGAGAGAGAGAGAGAGAGAGAGAGAGAGAGAGAGAGAGAGAGAGAGAGAGAGAGAGAGAGAGAGAGAGAGAGAGAGAGAGAGAGAGAGAGGGCTAATTTAAATTAATAATGAAAAATTCAGGTGACTGTACAAGGTACAGTGAGGTCCATCTAAAAGGTATAGTAAGGGCCACTTACAAGGTATAGTGAGGACAACCTACAAGGTATAGTAAGGTCCACTTACAAGGTATAGTGAGGACAACCTACAAGGTATAGTAAGGGCCACCTACCAGGTATAGTGAGGACAACCTACAAGGTATAGTAAGGTCCACTTACAAGGTATAGTGAGGACAACCTACAAGGTATAGTAAGGGCCACCTACTAGGTATAGTGAGGACAACCTACAAGGTATAGTAAGGGCCACCTACTAGGTATAGTGAGGACAACCTACAAGGTATAGTAAGGGCCACCTACTAGGTATAGTGAGGACAACCTACAAGGTATAGTAAGGGCCACCTACTAGGTATAGTGAGGACAACCTACAAGGTATAGTAAGGACCACCTACCAGGTATAGTGAGGACCACCTACAAGGTATAGTAAGGTCCACCTACAAGGTATAGTAAGGTCTACCTACAAGGTATAGTGAGGACCACCTACAAGGTATAGAGAGGACCACCTACAAGGTATAGAGAGGACAAACTACAAGGTATAGTAAGGCCCACCTACAAGGTATAGTGAGGACCACCTACAAGGTATAGTAAGGACCACTTACAAGGTATAGTGAGAACAACCTACAAGGTATAGTAAGGACCACTTACAAGGTATTGTGAGGACAGCCTACAAGGTATAGTAAGGACCACCTACCAGGTGTAGTGAGGACCACCTACCAGGTATAGTAAGGACCACTTACAAGGTATAGTGAGGACAACCTACAAGGTATAGTAAGGACCACCTACCAGATATAGTGAGGACCACCTACAAGGTATAGTAAGGACCACCTACCAGGTATAGTGAGGGCCACCTACAAGGTATAGTGAGGACAATCTTCAAGGTAATAGTAAGGACCACCTACAAGGTATAGTGAGGACCACCTACACGGTACAGTGAGGACCACCTACAGGATATCGTGAGGACAACCTACAAGGTATAGTGAGGACCACCTACAAGGTATAGTGAGGACCACCTATAGGATATCGTGAGGACAACCTACAAGGTATAGTAAGGACCACCTACCAGGTATAGTGAGGACCACCTACAAGGTATAGTAAGGACCACCTACCAGGTATAGTGAGGACCACCTACAAGGTATAGTGAGGACCACCTACAAGGTATAGTAAGGACCACCTACCAGGTATAGTGAGGACCACCTACCAGGTATAGTGAGGACCACCTACAAGGTATAGTAAGGACCACCTACCAGGTATAGTGAGGACCACCTACAAGGTATAGTGAGGACCACCTACAGGATATCGTGAGGACAACCTACAAGGTATAGTGAGGACCACCTACAAGGTATAGTGAGGACCACCTACAGGATATCGTGAGGACAACCTACAAGGTATAGTGAGGTCCCCCATGCCACATAATGCATTATCTTTTTCAATAAGTAAGGACTTAAAAGGATAAGGAAAGGTTAATCTGGGTTCAACAGGATAAAACAAGGTTTATCAGGGTTCAGCAGGGTGAAACAAGGTTGGGATTCCTAAACCCTGAAGCATGTTTTCAGAGGCCTTGTCCACTAGGAGGCCTAGTTGATAAAGGCTTGATCAACTATGCTGCTACAGCTGGCTGCACGCATTCCAACAAATGCAAAATAACCTGGCTGGTCAGGAATTGGCTTGAAGAGCTAATCCATTTCCTTCTTGAAGACAGCAATGGATCTGTTGGTAATCCCCATATGTATGATGGGAGGCTGTTGAAAGGCCTTAGGTCTCCTACACTTATTGTGTTATCTCTTAGTGTACTCACAGGGTCCCTGCTTTTCAGTCTGGGGAATACTGCACCATCTGCCGAGCCTCATGCTTTCGCAGGGAGTCATTTCTGTGTATTGATTTGGGACCAATCCTTCATGGTGTAAATTATAAAGTATCTTTCTCGCCTGCATTCTAGGAAGCACAGGCCTTGGGACTTCAAATATTCCCAATAATTTAGGTATTTGACTGAAGTTAATTGTGTAATAAGCCTATCCGTACATTTTCTAGGCCTACAATTTCGCCTGCCTTAAAAGGGGCTGACAGTGTATAGCAGTATTCCGGTCTAGAGAGAACAAGTGACTCAGGGGACTACCAAAGGCTTGGTATCCAGTTTTTACTGATATAATGGTATTCTACTTCCGAGAATGTGGGCGAGAAGCATATTCCATGAGCTCTTAAGAAATTCTTTTCTCGTGATGTGATAGGTAGGTCATCTCTTGTATTGAAGATTCCGGTTGTTATGATTCTTGAACATTGGATCCTCTGACATTATCGCTCGTAACTCCATGTTAGTTTCTCGCTCTGTGTTAGAATTAGTTATTTATTTCGTTCTAGCTTTTATTTTCTCAAATTTTCCATAACGGAATAGTTGAAATTTGTCTTTATTGAACATCATGTAGTCTTCCGAGGTCACCGGAAGACTTGGCTTATATCCCCTTGGAGATTTGCAGTGTCCTACAAGGATGCAATTCTCGTACAAATTCTAGTATCGCTGCAATGATTTATGTCCCTGTTTATCCTGGATATGATGATGAGGATAAGGATAGGGGTGAGTACTTCCTCACAGCGTGGCAGCCTCTGACTTAACTCTGTTTACTATTACTCTTTCCGTCTCTGCTTGTTAGAAAGTTGAAAACCCATCTGATCATTCTTCCAGTTATTCCTTTAACATGCGTTTTCGCGCACTGTTACG